CCATACAGATTGGAATATGAAAGGTTTACACAATTTATGTATTCATCTAGGTTTACCGTCACCATCAGGGAGAACACAACCTGCTGTTTCCCCACGTGGCCAAAGCTTTGGACAAAGAATTATGGGCAATATGATGGATAATCTTTTGGTGAGAAGTCTTACATCCAAATCAAAAGGTCGAACAGATGATATTGCTCCACCCTCACCAGTGAAGGTATATGTATGCTCTTTCCTCCAGCACATGTTGATAGGTCATAGGTACTATGGTTTGGGCATTAGTAGTCTAGTACTCCCTCTGTTCCAAATTATAAGTCATCTAGGTACATAGCTTTTGCTATGTATCTAGACATAGCATATATGTCTAGATGCATAGCAAAAGCTTTGTACTTACAAAAGCCAAAACAACATGATTTGGAACGGAGGGAGTAGTTGCTGTAGCTTGGTGTATCTACAATTCTACGCATCAATACGTATTTGACCATGCATTCCTAGAAAAAAATAAAAAAACATATTTGCTTTATTTGGTCTTTTCTCAAATTTTGTGTTGATCCATCTCACGAAGGATGCTGGTTATTTTGTAATAGTTTTTCTGTTAACTCGCTGACACCTGAGTCCATTTGGTATGTGAACAAGAGATGTATTACATGGACTCGTAATTATTATGGTACCATGTATGGTTAATGAACTTATATTATGCTACTCTATTGTTGTGACAGCCAATTGTATGGGTCTTCATTAGTACTCAATGTATTATTTTGAATAAGTTTTCGAGTTAGTTTTACTAAACTCTGCTATTCCACTCTTCCAAAAATCTGGTCGTTGTTGAAGGCTAAAGCGCTCAGCTCATATGAGCTTTGTTTAGCTGTTCTAACCCTCATTTGGTAGCTCATATGGCATCCAAAAGCTAGCTATGGACATTTCTTAGTATGCCTAGTATGGAAGTACTGACATTTTCTTCTTTGGCTTTGTGCTTGTTGATCTAGGCCCCTGATGATGATGAGGCTGACAAGGCTGAAGAGGAAGAGAGCCCTATGATGGAAACTGTCAGGAGCAAATGTATCACACAGTTACTGCTGCTTGGGGCAATTGACAGCATACAGGTAAAAGCACTTTCCACTTTATATACATGCTCTTAGATCTGAGTCCATCCATTGTCTCTCTGACAATGTGGGTCTGGATGCACCTTGTCTGTGATACAATAGAGGACTCTCAGAATTCTAGTAGCAAATAAGGAATTCATCACCCTAATATATTAGCCAGCCCTACTTGGGTTGATATATTGTGACTAACTATCGATGAAACATTTCAGAAGAGGTATTGGAGTAGGCTAAAAGCCACACAACAGATAGCAATAATGGATATCTTGCTCTCACTCCTAGAGTTTGCTTCTTCGTATAACTCACCTTCAAATCTTCGGACGAGGATGCACCATATACCTCCAGAAAGGTAAGACCTGAAGACCAAATGATTTTTGCTTTTGTTGATCTAGGAATCAGTTTCTAACATTTAAATTTGTGTAGACCTCCACTGAATCTTCTCCGGCAAGAACTAGCTGGAACAACAATTTATTTAGATATCCTCCATAAATCAACAGTGGAGCAGGGTGAAAAGGACTCCACTGAGGAAACAAATGGTCTGAATGTGGAATCTGATGACCAGGAAAAGATCAAGTACCTAGCAGAAGGGAAGCTGGTTTCTTTTTGCGGGCAGATTTTGAAAGAGGCGTCTGATCTCCAGCCTAGCACTGGGGAGGCTGCCAGTGCAGACATACATCGTGTATTAGACTTACGGGCACCTGTTATTGTCATGGTATATATCTGGATCCTGGAAGCTTTATGTTAGGTCTTGAAATTCTCATCCATGTTTTAGGATAATCTGTTTATGCTCTGACAAGAAATTTTGTTTGCATTTCAGGTTTTGAAAGGAATGTGCATCATGGATGCTCAGATCTTCAAAAGGCACCTGAAAGAGTTCTATCCATTAATTACCAAACTTATCTGTTGTGATCAGGTACGTACTTTCTCAGATGTCGTTTAGTTTGTAGGTACCATCAACGAAACATGCGATAACACCAGAGCTTTAATTTGTGGTTATGCTTCAGATGGATGTTCGTGGAGCCCTTGGTGATCTCTTTAGCAAACAGCTTACTCCACTCATGCCCTGAAGTGTGGCAGTATTTCCTCTCTTGCATATATCTTGTTGGAATATATTCGTCATCAGCATTTTTGTGCAAACATGGAGGACCGGTAGGGTGCTTGACATCCTTAACATTTTTTTTTTGGACGACGCAAGGGAAGTAGCTTGACTGTTGCGCACACCATGTTTTTGCTAGTGACTTGTACCTTTGAGCTATTTATCTGTGCTCGGACAGGGATGATGCTTCCATTATACAGTAGAGTAGTGTTGGTGATATGTACACATTGTTCAGGACATTGTACTTGAGGCCTGTTATTATATGGCAATAGTAGATTATTTGCGGCAAGCCTTGTTTTTGTGCGTCTAATAAAGTGGGGTCCTGAGAAGTATAGCCTTATCTGACTGATTGTTGCAGAATTGCGTTCCACATTCCTATTGTCTTGATTGTTGCAGAATTAGGTTGGCAAATTCCTGTTGTCCTCAAGTTGCTGTAATGTTGACACGGTGCATTTATCTGTTGGTATTTTTGTCTTGTCCGTGTTGGGCGCATGTGTTGTTTGATATTGTGCATCAGTGTATTTATCCGTAGTTGACAGCAATACAGATATTACTACTGTTTTCTGTATTTTGGAATGCTGCCAACGCAGGCGCATTGTGTATTGGGTTTCCATATTTTCAATCACCTGTCGAGAATCGAAGTGCAATGTGAATCCATATTGGTAACTAATGCTTTGTGTACCAGAATCCAATCATTCATTTGCTGCCAATGCAGGCACATTGTTTATTTGGTTTCCATATTTTCAATCACCTGTCGAGAATCCGAGAAGGCCAAGGTGAACGCAGCATATTGTCTACTATTAATACTTTATCTTGCGTACTAGAGTGATCGCTGTAGAAGTAGGACTAATAGGCGAGACCCTCGGACCCATAATGCAGCCGACGAGAAAACCAACCCTAGCCCAAGTGAACAGGTTCCAGAACCCAGGTACTACAATACGGAGTATATGGCAACAAGGCCACAATGTTTGATTGTTTGCAAAGTTCTCCAGTCTCCAAATAGTGTGAGAAGTGCCATTTTACATATCCAATGGTCTATGATTAGAGCACCCGCAATGAGCCGAGACTTGAAATATGGGCCCCCAATCTGAACATTTTTCTCTATTCCTTCGCATGAGAAAAATCTCCATCTCTCTCCCGGCCTGCTGCAAAAGAATTATTTTGTGGATTAGAAGCCCGGGCACCAATAGATCTCTACCCTATTCGCTTCGCAGAAAAGCCAGCGCTGAAAAGTACTTCGCTGATTTGTTGTGAGAAAAAAACACTGTACCATGGCTGATAAGCCAGGCTGATAAGTTCAAGCGAACATATTATGCTAGATTTCGGAGATGAAGCATCGACCTTGCAGTGTTGAAAATCGATGCTTGAATACTCTCCTTTTTAAAAATCGGGAGTACTCTGCCGATGCTCTTATAGTCCCACAATAGAGGGGACATGACCCGTTAAACCATGAAATATGTATTTTGTGTGGCGAAGAATATAGATCTTATATAAGGAAAAATAGGCTATTGACACTTGAACAATTATGTATCACAAATTCAAGTTGAGAGGAGATAAATCTTGGTTGTGTTGCCGTACGCTCACTTTCGCTAGCTAAGCTAGGAGTATTATATTATTTATCATTATATTTGTCCTAAAATATAAGATGTACACATGTCTGAATATTCGAAGTTTGTTATTTTCACCAACAATTAGTGTAGTCATATGATTTTTTGTACTACAAAATTAGTTACACTGAATTTGTATTTAGAAATATTTTAAAATGAACACATTTTAGTAACCTTGCAATACCACGCTAAGTCAAACCTCACATCATATTATGATGAGATGAGATGGAGTCAGTATTCCATAAATAGTTGATAAATTCTACACAAGAGCGAACAAATTTGTAGTCACAAGTACTAAGCATAGTCCATTTACTTAAATCTAAGTCTGAATCTTTAGTACTATGTTTGGATCTTTAGTACTAAAATTAGCACTATGTTTAGATACTAATTAGAAAGATTAAACGTGAACTAATTTCAAGACTAATTGCATAAGCGGTGACTAATCAGCGAGCCAAATCTATTAATCCTAATTAGACTATGATTAGCTTATACGGTGCTACAGAAAACATAGGCTAATCAAGGGCTATTTACGATTAATAGATTCGTCTCATCAATTAATCAACGCTTATGTAATTAATTTTAAAATAAGTTTATATTTAATCCTTTTAGTTAGCGTTCAAACGTAGCCAACCAGGACCGAACAAGCCCTTAACACATGTACTCGTAATTTTCGCTAATTATACCTTGGTCCACGTCGAGTTGGCCGCGAGAGTTGACTCGCGTACGTGTTGATCTAAAATACGTATTCTTTAGACCTCGTCACTGGTGCCGCACAGTCGAACCGTGTGGACCTGTTCGCCTACGTGTTGATCTAAAATACGTAGCGTCCTGTTTACTTATTTTTAGTTAATAAATAATATTTTTCTTATAATAAATCAGTTCACAGTACTGTCAGGCTTATCAGCAAGCTATTCCTGTAAACAATTTGACGGGCCCACGAGATACGGGGGGACAGCAGTGAATGATCATAAAGTTACTGGCCGGACAGGTGGTTTCCGCGTGTGCACGTTCACCCGCCTCCTCTCCTTCGCAAGACGGCAAAGAGGAGTCGCCATCGCCCGCCCCATCTAGTCTGTGTCGGTGCGGCCGTGCGGGGGCGGTGCTGCGGTCCTCTATTCGGCAGGACTCTTCATCGCCGCCTCACTACTCCAATCTCCATCGCCATTGCCGGCGCAAGCAAAGCAAAAGGGGCGGAGAAGCATGGCGGGGCGCTACGACAACAACCCCTTTGAGGAGGAGGACGTGAACCCTTTCTCGGTACGTGCGCCCATCCTCCACCCCTATGGCGCAGATCTAGTTTCCTTATCTGGCATCGGTTTTCTTCCGAGAATCAGTGGGGTATTCGCTACTTCGCTCCTGTTTGGATCTGGACGGGGCGCAGAACTGACCACGTCCCGGCGATGGAAAAACAAATGCATATTACCCCCTTGCAGTATCGCCGACGCTGCTAGTGATTTTTTTTTTATTCTGGCCTGATGATGCAATGGCGCTTGAACCTCTTGTGCGTGTCTGTGGTTCAAGTTTTTATCGGTGCGTTTTCCTTACACAGGAACAAGCGCGCGGCAAGGCTGGCGGGCAGTCCAACTTTGGCAGTGGCGCGTTTTACATGCCTGTGAGTTGTTCTGTTCTTATGAAGTTATGAGTTATGTGACCTACATGGTATGGCACATCAGTTAGGGGTGCATATTGCTTGCCTGCTTAATGTTGTGTGATTTCTGCTGAAATGTAGAACCCCAGAAACGTGCCTCCTGCATCCAATTCACGTCTTTCGCCGCTTCCTCCTGAACCGGCAGACTTCAGTGCTACAGTGGATATACCCCTTGACTCGTCAAAGGTGTGTATGAATGTGCATTGCCTTCCCACATGCAAAATGCGGCTGCAATGACCACACTTACTAGGAAATGCTGTTCAGGGCAACCAATAACATGTGCTTGTGGATATCCAGGACCTGAAGAAAAGGGAGAAGGAGCTGCAAGCAAGGGAAGCGGAATTGAACAAGAGGGAGAACGTATGCTGCACATGACACATACCTCTACATCTTCCTTTCAGTTTCGACTAAACACAACACAATCACGGCTCCTTAGATAATTGGTTTTGTTGTTGTTGAGATGATCAATTTAATTTTCATTCCAAGCATGGATTGTTGCTTACTGGGCTCTATTTTGCTGCCCCAAATTGTATTTTTCTGCTGTACCCTGATATATTTGGAGGAATCTCTGAAAAACTGTTGTCAGTTTCTGACTGTCTGTTGTATCTGTTATATTGACTAGGAACTAAAACGAAAAGAGGAGGCTGCAGCAAGAGGTAAATGCTCATTGTTTCTTCTTTGTTTATTAATGACTCAGTAGAAGAACTGTACATTCGAAGTGTCTTTGTCTCTTCCCATTGAAGAAGAAATAAGCATGCAATTTACCTAATGTTGACAGGTTAGAAGTAAGGCATATTACATCTGATGATATGAAATAATAACATAGTAGCTAATGCTATATATATCCTGAATCTTGTAAAACATGTCTACTGAGCCTCAGCCACACTGGTTCGTTAACGTATAAGCACTAACCTGGCTCTAATTGCTGTCTTGATGGTAAACGGTACTGTGGTAAATGACACTACATAATTATATGTAAAACAAGTATGAATAGTAAACATCAGAAAGTTTGGAAGGCTTTCATACATTCATTCTCTTTTTCACTCAACAGGGCATTGACATGAAAATTATTATGATCCATGTTTTTAAGATAAAGTTCATTTGTTTCACAAGTTGCTAAGCTTACATTTCCTTATTTTGTTTCGCAGCTGGCATTGTCATTGAGGAGAAAAATTGGCCTCCTTTTCTGCCACTCATCCATCATGATATCACCAATGAGATACCGAGTCACCTTCAAAGAATGCAATATGTTGCATTTGCGTCATTTCTTGGTATGCTGCTTCTGATTCACAACATCCTGAAAACTTTCACTCTGATGAATAATATTCAATATTCTCCTTTATTTAATGGTGCAATCTTCAATGGACATGCTTTCCCTCCAAATATATTGGATGATGTTCTTTTAAGTTCTACATTTTGGATTTTCCATTGGTCTTGTCTTCTCACTGGTGGGTTGTGAACCTGTGTAAGACATGCAAGCGATTTCTTCCAACCTTTGAATCAATGACTCCAGCATTCCTGTAATGGTTTTGGTCAGATATATTTTAGAATGGAAAACTGATACTTCCATTGATACATTTCTTATATTTTAGCCAGAATACAAGTTATTAAATTGATATGCATGCTGATGGAATTATCAGTGACACTAATGGTTGTGTTCTTGTATGTCTGCATTCTCCAAACATGTTAATTTAATTTCTTAAACATAGGGAGGAGGTTTTAGTAAGATATTAATGGTACTGAAAAGTTGCATTCCTTTTGAAGTTATACAGAGCTATATCGCATTGAGAAATCTACATATTTTGAGAGGCAAAGATCGAAGGATTTAGAAATTTATCTTATTAATTTGCATATGATTTATTTAAGCATATTATTTCAACAGTTTTATTTGGTATTGAATAGGGTTGGTTTGCTGCCTCTTCTGGAATGTCATAGCAGTTACTACAGCTTGGATCAAGGGGGAAGGTATGCTGAGTCCTTTTGGTGTTATTTGTGGTTCTATCAAATTATCTCATGCTCACATTTTTAAAATTGTATTAACCGTTTCAGGTGTTAAGATCTGGTTATTGGCGATAATCTACTTCATATCTGGTGTTCCTGGTGCATATGTTTTGTGGTATCGTCCTCTGTATAATGCAATGAGGTAATTTATTTGAAATATCATCACATTATTTTGTGCCTCTACCATATTTTTTTGTATGCATGGATGGGTAATGTTTGCTGGCAACTTGTTTTGTAGGACTGATAGCGCATTGAAGTTTGGATTGTTCTTCTTGCTTTACTTGGTAAATATAACAAGTTTCTTAAGTGTCAAAGAGTTATGATTTTCATTTATATTATTATTATGTTCATTAATGCTTGAACCTCCTGTGCTTGCAGTTCCACATTCTTTTCTGCGTATTTTCTACTGTGGCTCCTCCTGTTGTATTTGAGGGAAAATCATTGGCGTAAGTTTCTTGCCTGCCTTTTCCTAAAAGCTTTTGGCTTCTGTAAACTTGCACTTGATCAAATATGTTTTTTACTATGATGTATGGGTGACGCAATCTGTAGATCTTGCACATTTCAATGTGTCTGTAAAGTAACATTGATGTTAAAACTAGTTTAGTTGGCTTATATAGAACAAATCTCCACTGCTCTATTTCCTAGTTGGACAACCCCATCACTGGATGAAGATAAAAACACGAAGTGTTACTGGTCTGGACAATGGCATCCCAAGATCTTGTGGTTGATGTTTAGAGGGGCAATAGATAACTGAGACATCCTTGCAGTACCTTGTGGATCTTTGGCATATGAACTAACTCCTGTTGTTTACTCTTGCAGAGGAATTTTGCCAGCAATTGATCTTATCAGCGTGAATGCTTTGGTTGGGGTAAGCTGAGCATCTTTTTGTTTGCCAAATGAGAGCTATGAAATTTTTGATAAATTATCTTCATCTAGTATCCTTGATGCAAAATGTAATTCTCTGATTTGTTTAGTAACTGAGTAATCCATACGATTGTTCTGCAGATATTCTACTTTGTTGGATTTGGATTGTTCTGTCTGGAATCGTTGCTCAGCATCTGGGTCATCCAGGTCAGTTTTCTATGATCAACCGTTCTAATTTTCCTGAACCAACTTCAGACTGCAGTGCGACATATCTGAGCCCTTTTTGGATTCTCCGCGTGCAGCAAGTGTACATGTACTTCCGTGGAAGTGGAAAGGCTGCAGAGATGAAGCGTGATGCGACAAGGGGTGCAATGAGAGCTGCATTTTAAGTGCGGTGTGGTATTTTTGTGATGATAGTCCTAGTCCCAAGCGCATACTTCCGGTGGATAGGTTGTGCCACAAACAAAAGCACATGTTTCTTCCTTGGTTGCTGACTGATACCAAACTGCCAGTAGGTTATCGTGATGTTACAAGTGACATTATATCACTCGCCGTCCTGTTTTAACTAAATATAGGGAATGTGCAGCTTTTACAGCTTTATTTCATCGTTTTCTTCTTGCTTGTTGAAATGTGGAGTGAATTATGAACCATCTTTAATTGAGTTGTACAGTGCTGTTAACTATTTGTTCTTTTTTGAGCGGCTTTTTGTACTTGTTGAATGAGTAGTGCCAATAAATTTCTAGCGTGTGGGAGGTGCACATGCGTGTATAATCGTGTACTAGTTTGAACGCGGTGTGTGAAGTGTGTGCGTCTTTAATTGAAAATGGGTTGTCAATTCTTTGATTTGAATCCCACAATCCAAGGCCCTGTTCACCTGAGCTTATCAGCCAGAACTAGTCTTACTTTTTTAGTCGTGTAACAGTGTTTTTCTCTCACATTAAATTAGTTTTATAAATCAGCTATAGTAGCAATAAGTTCTGCCTAAACAAGGCCTATTAATTGACCAATGATAGCCTCTAATGCCAATGAGGCTGCCCCAGGGGTAGTCCTGGGCATAATTGACCGAAGACCGAACTGACTGAGACAAAATGATAGAGACTAAAGTTTTTGTCACTAGATCGGTTTCGAGTTCCTCGGTCATTAGTTCGTTCTCAAGTCCATACTACTTGAACTTTTTACGGTTAGTTTGTTTACAATGCCACGGATAACCGAACTAACTGAGCATTTGGATTTTGTTGACATAACGTGTACTTTAGACTATTATTAGTGATGTAATATTCATTTTAGTGGGTTTTATATCAACTATCACTCTTATCACTTTGTTTAATCTATCTGTTGTATTGACATTTTTGTCTTAAAATAGAAAAAATATTACTAAAATTCACTTTGTTTAATCTATATGTTATATTGATATTTTTACCTTAAAATAAAAAAAATATTACTAAAATTATGCTACTTAGTGGTTGTTTTGTTTAGTTCGGTAATAACCGAGACCGAACTACACTTGCTCGGTCCTTAGTTTTAAAACGGATCGATTGCTCTCATTTTTAGATGACCCAACTTCCAAAATGACCGCACAACCGATCGATTTGCTTTTGTCAGACTGAATGCTCACCCCTACCTAGGGGACCTACCCTTCCTAACACATACAAGCTCGATTGTACAGTCAGCAGCCATGCGTGCAATTTTGGAAGTTAGTGACTTGGATGGCATCACCGTAAGTTTAGGTATCTCGTCCCGTTTAGCAAGATTGGGGACATATATAGATATGAACTTTTAAAAGTTTGGGAGCTAGATGGCCGTCCAAATTTAGATACCGGACCAATATATCATATTTACGTCAACATGCCACATCAGCATGTGGATTGGGTCGAAATCCGTTTGAACCGGTGTCGGAGTCCATGACAGGTTTAGGGATGTAGAAATAAAATGATCAACGGAATTGCTAGCGTCTGATCCGGGCGCTAGCATTCGGACGCTGCCCGCACATGAAGGGAGTGAGCGCCTAACGTGTCGGGCTCGCGAACAAGCGCACCAGTAGTGGGCCCGCGCTGCCGCGGACGTCGCCCCGGATGTCGCCCACGCCGCCCCGAACGTCGTCCGCGGCACCAGCCGCTTCCAATGCTGGAGCTAGAAAAATTTAAGGGGGGTGTGCCAGCGTTGTGGGTGTATCGATTTTTACAGTATGAGTGCATATATGGTGGAGAATTGAACATAATCACTGCTTTTTAAATTTTTCGTGGGTGCGGCCGCACCCGCTATAATGAACATACATCTGTCCCTGGCCGCTTCCCACACGCATCCCATGTATAACACCCGATCTACTTTATAAACATTCAGATGCAACAGTTGCAACGTATAAAAAAGATAGATGAAATACTTGAAACAAGTGTATGAAACACTTGCGAAAAACGCCTGAAAAACATTTGAAAACCATTGCAAACATATTCAACATCCTGATGAAGCACTTGCAAACATACGTATGAAACACTTGAAAACACTCGGAACATACGCTTGCAACATGCATGTATATGCAACATCCTGATATACTTTTGCAACATCCAGATAAAACACTTACAACATACGTTTGGACCAGATGAAATATTTAGAACAAACACTTGAAACATAAGTGTATAGCCATTACAACATGTGCAACATCCTGATATACTTTTGCAACATCGATATACAACACTTGCAACATACCTCTGAAAATATCTGAAACACTTGAAATATACTCTTGCAACATTCGGTTTTTGACCCTTCTTCTTCTTCTGTACGATGCAACACAGAGCGGGGGGACGACCGATTCTGGCAAGCCGGCGGCCGAGGATGGTGGCGTGGCTTGGCAGCAGCCAGCTGCACCTCCGCCTAGCCTGGGCCCAGCGAGCGGCGACCCCCTGTCCTGGCTGCCTGGCCACACGCGGCGGCCGGAAGGAGTCGTCGATCTCGGTGAGGTCGGAGAGGATGCCCGCGAGGAGCGACGGGGACGGCGGCGGCGGCGGCGGCGTGCGGAGACGAGGAGCAACACGTGCAGCGGTGACTCGTCGGGGTGGGCAGCTGGGAGTTGGGGTGGGCCTAGTTGAGGAGCGGGTGTAGGAAGCAGCACGTGTGCTCTTGTATGAGCAGGCAGCGGCTGCGTTTCCTATTTAGAGGAAGGAGAAGAGGAGCTGATGTTTACGCCCGCGTGTAAGAGAGAGGGAGAGAATAAGTGAGAATAAGTGGGGTGGCCGGTTAGGTGCTGGTCATTTGGCCCAGATAGAGAGATAGCGTGGAGCACCGTCTGATTTTTTTACTAAAGTTGGGAGTGCCGGCACTCCTAACCACCGACGTATTTTATTTTACTTAAAAAATACAAACCTTAACTCTGTGGGCGCACACGTTCACGCAAGTTTCTCACTCTGCTTCGCACGATATTTTACCTCTCACTGACGTATCTTCTTTCTCCGGCCCTCTTTCTCTCCTAGGCTCCTAAGTCTAATAGCGCAATAGAGAGCATCCGTAAAACTATATACAATAAAGGTGGTGCAGTACAAATGAGCTAATGACGTGAGCGATAGATGACATCTATTTTTTTATTGTACATAAAAAAAGAAAAATGACGGCATCTATCACTCACATCAGCTACAACTGTCCTGTTCACTTAGCTGATAAGTCATGACTAAAAATACTGGTGACTGATTTGTTGTGAGAGAAAAATAATGTTCGTTGACTGAAAAAATAAGGCTTATAAGCCAAGCGAACAGGACGAACACCACCATCCATTTTTTATTGTACATACAATACTCCCTGTGTCCTTTAAAAAAATCATTCTCCTTCCAAAAAAATCAATAATTTTTAATTTTGACCAAATATATTTAACAAAATATTAATATTTATGGTACATGATTAGTATCATTAGGTAGATCATTAAATATACTTTCATAATGAACTTATTTAAAGATATAAATGTTACACGTATTTTCTATAAATCTAATTAAAATTAAGAAAGTTTGCCAGCACGATTTCCACATGGACTCTTTTTAAGTACACTCTAGCAGTCTATGGTCAGGGGAAGGGATAATTATCGTGAGAGAAAGACAAAACGAGAAAATTTCGTGAAACAACCTCCTACAGGGATAGATACAGTGTACCAGTCTATGGTCAGGGGAAACAGGGATAGATTAAGGGGATATATACACTCTACCAGTCTATGGTCAGGGGAAACAGGGATAGAGGGACGCACCGAGATTGAATTAATAAGGGAAGGGATGAGCGGTGAGAGAGAACGTGTGCATCGGTTTGTATTTTTCGTCTACTCTACAAGCTCCATAGACTGTTTCAACTCATGCAAGTCAATCTTTCATCTGTGTGTGCCATCTCTCGCCAACTGAACACATCTTTAGTCTTTTTTCTTTTTGAAAAAACTGGTGACTTACATTTGCAAATCTCATGCATTTCATCTATCGAATATCTAAGGGATATCTAGAGAGACTGAGAGGGTATGGAGTATGGAAGCCAAACAGAAATCTCTCAGCACATTGTTGAATTACAAACGAAAGAACAAAAATGAAAGCCAATCTCTAGCTCCCGTGGACTATTCAGAGGAACACAGGCGACCAGCTTAAGCTGCACCTCGTCAGCCAATCCTGGTGTTGTCCCTGCCAAACACAAGCGTCGTTCCCCAGTTCACCGCCACGTAGAACCTGTTCCTCCAGCTCACCACCCGCGTCAGGTACGCTGACCGCCACATCAGCCAACTGAGGAAGCCAGCCATCGACACTCCCTTGGCATCCTGCAAATGCGAAAACCGTCTGTCAAATCCTAGCACTAATATCTCATGCCACATTTTTACTGATCAGGAAGGAGATTAATGGCTCAGCGGCATTGCCTTGTTCTCCCTGAGGTCGACGAGCGCCTTGTACCGGCCGACGGACGCCATGCTGCCGATGTGCTTGTACACGAACGGCTCCCCGAGGTCGGCCTTGCCGGCGCAGTGCGCCTTGCCGCCGTTCTGCGCCGCGACCCTCCCGAGCAGCCGCGCCAGGTAGCGGCCCTCCCGCTCCGCGACCTGAGCCAACGCCGGGAGCACCGGCTTGCCGGTCCCCTCCAGGAACCCCGCGCAGTCGCCCAGCGCGAACACGTCCGGGGCCGTGGGCACGCGGAGCCACTCGTCCACGCCGATCCTACCGCCAGGGGATCTGGGCAGGTCCAGGGACTTGACGAACTCCGACGGGCCGACGCCCGTGGACCAGACCAGCAGGCCGTAGGGCACGCGGGTGCCGTCGCTCAGGGTGATCTCAGTGGGCTTCACCTCCTTCACGATGCCTCGCACCAGATTAACTCCATACTGTCACAGATGCAGCACAAAAGATTGATTAAGCCCTGAGATCACATTAATTAATCTGAATTTGCGAGAATGTTACACTTCAGAGTGTCATCACAGAGGCCATGTTCGCTTGTCTTATAATCCGTATTTTTCGGTTTGTTTTTTTAGCCGGAACATTATTTTTCTCTCACAATAAATCAACCGAAACAGTGTTTCGACTTGTTTTTTCAGCGAAGCGAAAGGGGCCTAATAAGCCTATGTTACCTTTGATAGGTGATTCATCGCGTACTGCCGCAGCCCGATATCGAACGATGACAAGATCTCGTTTGCCTGGAAAGAACAGGTCATAAACGATGAGATGATCAGAAACTTCTTCAGTAAGTCCGATCGATGCATATATACTAATACTCTAGATTATGTATGTAATCGGTTCACGAGGTGCACTGAGTACGTACCTCGATGAGGGTGACCTTGACGTAGTCCTTGACGTGCGCGTACCTCTGGCGCACGTCGCGCGTGATGAAGTCACTGAGCTCACCGCTGAACTCGACGCCGGTGGGGCCTCCGCCGACGACCACGCAATGCAGGAGCCGCTGCTTCTCTTCGTCAGACAAGCCTAGAGAGCACAGTGCTTGATCATCATCACAGCCAAAGTTTGCAATGCGTGCAAGCTAATGATCAATGCGCGTAACTAATGATGATGGACGTATTTTCCCTGAAGAGAGGTGTGTTGTTACCTGGATTCTCGGCGAGCATGAGGTTGGTGAGCAGCTTCCTGCGGATCTCCTGTGCGTGGCTCACCTCGCGGAGGAAGATGGCGTTCTCCTGGACGCCCTTAATGTTGAAGGTGAGCGGCTCGGCGCCGCTCGCGATCACCAGCTTGTCATAGGCGATCTTGAACTGGTACGGGTCGCTGGGCAGCTGTGCGTCGCCGGACGCGGCCGTGCAGTACACCTCGTGCGCCTTGGTGTCGACGCCGGTGCAGGAGGCGAGGAAGAAGTAGGAGCCGTGGTGGGTGGCGAGTGCCGACTGGATGCGGCTGACGGGCTCGACGACGGAGCGGAACTCGAGCGTGCCGACGCACGTGGACGCCAGCAGCGGCGTGAACACCATGTGGTTCCGGGGGGACACGCACACGACGTCGTAGGCGCGCGTGTCCACGTCCTTGAGCAGCCGGCACGCCGCCCACCCGGTGCCCAGGACCACGACGCGGGGCTTCTCCCCTGGCCGCGTCGGGCCGAGGCTCGGCATCTGGCGAGGCGGCGACGTCACAGGCTCGTGTTCCCTCGTCTCCGCGTCCGAGAGCTCCGCCGCCACTGCCGCGGACGACGCGGGGTGCAGCCTCGCGGGCGTGGTGACGATGCCCCTGCTCGGCGGCTGGAGGAGGTGGCCCGCGGACCTTGCCGCGAGGCTGTGGAGCGACGACGGGTGCTGGCCCCGGGCGCGGGACAGCGCGGCGGCACTGCGCATCGCGGAAACCGCCTCCGCGGGCGACTCGCCGCCGACGCCGCCCTCGTAGAGGGTCCTCGACAGGGACTGCGACAGCGACAGCTGCGCTCCCCTCCCGATCCTAGACCACGCCGCCGCCATCTACGGGAGCAGCTGCTTTAAGCGTGCGAGGGAAGTACAGTATCTATCAGAGAAGGGCCTGCAAAACGGAAGTCCAGCCAAATTGCATTCAGCAATGTGTGCATAACTGAACAAATCTGCACGAGAATTTATATGTGTAGACAACGGAAGCAGAGCAAAAAGGACATGACGAATGCGACTTGGCTTTGGTTCGATGCGCATTTTTCCTGGGAAGTTTCGGTGTTATGAAAAGGGGCATGTGGTTAGGACGCTGATATTGACCAGCCTCCGAAGAATCTGGAACTGACGAACTATGCATCTACGAATTGTACTCCAAATTGTACTCTAAGTAAAAGCAGTCAAAAGTCAAATTGTTCTCCAAGAAATTTGCCGAGGAGAAGAACAAGTACAAGCCCTTGGCAAATCAGCGACGACGGTGGAACGCGCGCATGTACCACGTCGTGCAAGAGGAATATACGGGTGGACTCATTAGTTATCACGCGCATGGAAAACAACATTTGTACAAAGTAACCAAGAAATCAAAAGTAGCCGCAGTTGATGGCGCGTTGTGCCCGCCGCCGCCGCCGCCGCCGGGGAAGTTTCGTTCATGGTTCCAATTCCCCCTCAGCCCTCGATCGTGCAAAAACCCTAGAGCCCCAACTTTCGTGGATGGCCATTCGAGAACGCACACAAACGCCGGTAAAATTTTCGAAGAATTACCGTGGGAAGATGACGAGGAAGGCGATGGGGGGAAGGGAGAATCATCCCACGACGTCACGGCCCGTCGCCATCGATCGACTCTCGGACTAAGAATTGAAGATTCAACAGCAGCAGCGCCGCGAAAAGGACAGCTGGTGGTGGTGTATAACTGTATAATATGGGAAGAAAAAGGGAGACAAGGATTTCGGAAAGATCTGGAGAGACGGGGCCGTGCGCGTGTTCCTGCCTCATTTTATATTCCTAACTTGCCGGAGGGGGATCTCGCGGCGGGGAGGCCTCGACTTGCGTAGCAAGAAGAACAAAACGACCGGGACCCCACAAAACCTCTCGACTGCCCGGGTCCCTGCGTGCAGTGAAGGCGCGCTAACCGCTAGGACTCCGTCAGCGGCTCAGCGCTTAGCTGTCGCGGCCTGTCACCGGTCGCCAGGCGCCCAGATACTTGCGGCGCACACTGCTGGTCGGCGCGGAGCGTTTCCACGGACGTTGTATTGTGCCTTTGCGCTAGGTCACCGTGTCCCAAAATAAAATTGAGTCTGTCTAGCCGGTGTTTTTGGAAGCTCATGCCACCTGATTTTTGTCTATACATTTACTATGTCTTTTAGTTATGTTTATACTTGTCTTATTACTACGTTTACATTGATTTTTTCAATGTAATTTATTGAATAGAGTAATGTAATTTGGAGATAACAATGTGGATTGCAAATCTCAAAGAAATATATGTCAAAATTTTCAGAAAAATTTACAAATTATTTTTATGAATTGTAGATACCAGAGAAATACATGTCAAATTGTAAACAAATTGTTCACAAATTTCAGAAAAAATAAAAATTCACAAATTGTCGTGGTCCCGCTTTGAATGTCGTGTCTGCAAAAATCGCGCCACCGCCTCCGAAAACACTTCAGCGTGTTGATTAGCAATGGGCACTTCGTTAATTACCGTCATCTTTGGTCTTTGGTTTCCATTTTTGTGAGAACAAAAACATCGACTTGGTGGTTTGGTGCCTTTGCCGAAACCAATGGGTGACCGTGTCCCATATTCAAAAAATATACATGGTGCCATGGTGGAATTCCAGCATATAGCACTACCACACAATGTGTACGTACACGAGTTTGTATCAAACTTTGAAACATATAATTGTACAGTGGAAGAATGGAGTCGATTTTTCCTGGCTGCACATGTTGTATTGTAACATAGTCACTTTCACAGACAGACAGAGCTTAAGCGTTTCGTTTCCATTCTTCTTGATCGAAAGTTCATACTCCTAGTAATATTCAACGCGTTCGGCTGGTCTACTGCTAGCTTATTTCAGCTTGTTTTAGTTTATTCTCTCTCACAGAACACTATTGAATCATTCAGAATCATTCAAAATATACTGTGCAGGGCACCAGCCGAGCGCGTTGATTATGTTTTAGAAATTGGAGCGCACATGAAAAAGGACGGGGAATTCCTCGTGTGCCATTAAAAAAGATCGCAATGCTCTGTATGTCTCTGGAAAAGTTTAGCGGTCTTCAGCGCCACTGCTCTAATTTTTTTGTGCCCTCCATACCACTGCCGTCAGTTTAGACTCTAACGCCATTAAACTATAGGTGTGAAAAGTCGAAAATACTCTTAAGTCTAAATATGTCATTAATTTTTTTAGCATCTTAACGACTTCAAATGAAAAAACTCAAAACTAGAAAGTTGTAGATCTCGTCGAGGTTTATAATTTTCATATAAAAATTATCTTCATTTAATTTCGCAAAAAAATATGATTTGATATGATTAATATATCTTAGAAAAATCATATCTTTTTTTGGAATTAAATGAAAATAATTTTTATATGAAAATTATAGATCTCGACGAGATCTATAAATTTGTAGTTTTGAGTTTTTTTATTTGAAGTCGTTAAGATGCTCAAAAAAATTAATGATATATTTAGATTTAAGGGTATTTTTGACTTTTCACACCTACAGTTTGACGGCGTTAGAGTCAAACACAACAGCTGGCATGTATGAGGGCACAAAAAAAGTGTTTTCTAAAAGATCATTGAACTTTTTGATCATCGAAGAGTTCGATCTTTTTATGACATAAAAAAAATTCCCCCAAAAGGACTGAACAAGATAAATATCATCCCGTTTTGACAAAGAACGGCAAGGCCACGAGTCAAGGCGGACGCAACTGGAAGTAAGATCACCGCAGCGGCTTGAAGATCTGGGAGTAGGGCGAGACGACGGCCTCCTGCACCATCCTCCGGCCGTCCTTGGGGTCGGTCCCCCACTGGACCTCGCTCATGTTGGGCGTCTCCACGAAGAGCATGGTGAACTCGCCCACCTTCTCGGCGCGCCCGCGGCGGCCCGCCCGCAGCACCAGGGCGTTCCCCCTGTGGTACGAGAAGATGCCGTCCGTGAGCCGCACGATGTCGCCCAGCTCGAACGCGCCGCACTCGCCGCCCCACAGCAGGAAGTGCGCCGCCGCGGTCTCGTCCGCCACCAGCGCCAGGCACGTCACCTCCTTCTCCTCCCTGCCGCCGCCGCCGCCGTCGCGGGCCTGGGCGTGCGGGTGGCGGTGGGACGGGCGGGCCGACGGCGCCGCCTTGTCGAGCACGATGAACGTCGTGTTCACCGTGTTGGTCGCGGCCGGGACCAAGTCCTTGAGCTTCACCATCCTGCCGCTGGAGACGGCGGTGCCCTCGACCGGCGCGTCGGCCTGCAACAGTTGGGTTAAAGATTTATAGATGGTTGGTCGCCGTGGAATAGAAGCTCCTTACTATGGCATTTGATCGAGCACCTTGTGGGTGTCGTGGGTTCGCATGGCGACGGGAAGCAGGAAACCACGCGCGAGACGTACCAAGCTCGTAAGAGGAGGAACGCTGCTGGACTCACCTCTCTTGCCATGTCTGGAGTCTGGACGCCGCCGCCGCCTCCCTGCCTGCTCCCTGCTGCCCTCAGGCTTCAGCCGTAGCCCGTAGTCCGTAGCGCCCGGACGCAGATTCGGTGATGCGTTCAAATCAGATCCAATGGCTCTTAGCGATCGTGAGGAAAAACAAGGGGTGAGAGGGAGGCAGCGCGGAACAGAAGCAATTCGCGTCGGGTTCTCTTTGGCGCGGAGAATCGCGCTCTCCCACGCTCCCGCTCTACGAAAGTGAAGGGAAGAGGGCCGCGCCGTAGGGAGGCCTTGGAGGATGCGCCGGACGCCTTGGAGCAGTGGGAGGTGGCCTGCCGCCGGTACGCCGCCGTGGAGTTCCTCCTCGTCACTGACTTGATGAACCTCGCACGCCGCGTTCGTCCTCGCCGCCTGCGGACCCTGGCCACGGTGACCACGTCCCCATTGCTGCATCGGCGTCCCCCACGCGGCCCACCGCAGGTGCCCGAGGGACTGGAAAGTCGGCTCTATCCCGGCGCCTAGCCACTCCGGGATGGAGCCGGGGAGCCCGAATCGCGTTGAAGGCCATGAGCCGCGTGATGTTGCATAGCCCTGTCGACGGCGAAGTGCGGTGATACGCAGCCTAGTCGCGAGCGCCTCAGTCCGACGATGTTGAGTGAGACAACGCGCCCGGCGCGGCAGCTAGCCCACGCCGTGCACGGGTCCGCATGCCGCGGTCAGCCCGCGCCTTCAGGCCGAGCAAACCCCGCAGCAGTAGAGCACTAGAGCCGTTGGGATCCGACCGTGACGTCAGGTTCCCGCTCGGCATGCTCAGCATTGAGTTCCCGCCCGCCGCCGCATATTGCACCAGCGCATCGAACAAGTACCCACAGCAGCCCCTGCCCCTGCCACGAACACCGCCACCCCCCGCTAGCACTGCGACCGCTAAACACCCACTGGCACTGCGAATGCCGCCGAGTCTCCGAAGCCCTCCCAGATGCGCCGGGCACCCCTCAGTCCTGCGCGTCCGACACCAGCATTGTTGCTAGGCGATGCAGGCGAAAAAACTGAAGTCTGGCTACACCTACACCTCAGTTCTCATGATCGAGCAAAAAGATACTAACTATTCTGAAATTAGCCAGCAGTAACATGGCACATGAAAGTGTTCTAGTTTCAAATGCATACAGCACCTTTTCTGAACGAAACAAATGCGTACCTTTTTAACAGAACAAACACATTCATTGCAGACTTTGCAGGCTTCCATTACATGCTATAAGTTCAGGAGTGAACAACTGAACATGTACTATGTCTATGATAGGTCCAAAGGAACATGACAGCAAAAGGTAACAAACATAAGTGACGTGGCCCCTTCAACAAAACAGAGAACCCCTAACAGGAAAACAAATTTAGGTGATAATTGTGCCATCATAAAGCTTACACTCGTTATGGTTACCAATACCCAATTTCCACTCGAGCAAAGCTTCTGATGCACTTGAAGCACCTGTAGTTGGTTCCTCACTTGTAGAGGCGGCTGCTGCTTCCAATGCTGCAGAAATGCAGAAAAATTGATAACATCAGCATTTTGAGAACCAAGTTCCCCTCAGTGAATAATTGCTTCGCCAGACACAAAACATACGAATTATTGGCTAAAGAAACAGGCAAACAACACTAGTTTATTATCCACAGTCTGTCAAGTAACAGCCACATGACTAAAAACTCGAAAAAGAAATACCTATCTCTATTTAACACAAGTACAACGATCTCTATAAGTGACAATGACAGAACATGGATGCTAATATATGCAGTGCAGAAGGACATGCAGGTTATGACTTTCGAAGAGAAATAAAATCTCTTTCCTGCTGGGTGCCTTACTGGGTAACAACTAGACCAGATCATTAACAGCTCTCTAAGGTTAAATATCATCACCCATATCTCTATGCTATCAAATATATAACAGCTAGACCAGATCATTAACATTGGCAAATCATAAACCAAGCAAAAACTGTACCTAGAGTGCACCAGCTGCTGTAGGGAACAATGTTGTGGAAGCCATTACCCTCACATAACATTTTCACCTGGCCTGTCTTCAGCTCAATACTGAATAATCTACCATCTGCCTCCACAAGAAGGACTTGATAGACTTAGTGGATCACCTAGACATAGATCTAGCAGGTACAACCTTACATACGGGATGAAAACTTCCTAGAACATGATCTAGAGAGAGAGAGAGAGAGAGAGAGAGAGAGTGAGATGAGATGTCACCGACCATCCGCGGGCTTGGAGGAAGAGCTCGACGTAGCCATGGCGAAGGTGATGCGGTCCGGGTCGGCGGAGTCACGGTCACGGCGTTGAGGTCGGTCGCAGTGTAGTGGTGGCACAGAGGCGGCGGTGAAGACGTCAATGGAGCTTCCTGTCGCTTCAGCGCCTCCCTCTTAGATCAGATTAGGGTTAGGACTGTAGGTGGGAGAAAGGCAGCTCAGGTGAACCTCGTGACGCGAGCCCCGGCCTCCCACCTCCTTTATATTGCGCTGCGCGACGGGGGCCCACCAACCATGGAACGGTTGGGCGCCCCTGATCAGGACGCAGATCAAGGCCCCGACTCGGTCGTTGGACCGAGCCGGGAGGAGATCAACCTAACAGGACTCCATCAGCGAAGCCAACAAAGTTCGAAGAGATGGAGAGGGGATTAACAGTGAACAGGTTCCCAAGCTCAATGACTCGGATTTGTGTCCATCCAATGTCTCCATTGGGATTCGCCTCCATTGACCAGAGGGACAGTCTGGCTACACCGTGCCCTGTTGCAGCTCCCAGCCCACCATCCTCCATCGTCATGAGCATAGTATTGTGCCAAATTGACCTGGTTGGCAGGGGAATTACAGATGTTTCCCGTGTAGCCAAATCATACCTAAGAGTCCTACTGCTGGCATCAATCACAAAGTAGAGTGCGGTCCCCACAAGGGCAGTGGGCACCAAACGGACCCAGTGTGTCCCAGGGACAAAGGTTAGCTCACTCCAGGAGCTGGAGTCCGATGAGTAAACGCACAAGCACATCTCATGGGAGCTGCATCCCACGGCAACGACAATGAAGGGTCCGCTGCGGCAGTCGATGTGGTCGCAGGCGCCGCTGGCTGTGGAAGCACAGAGCACGGCCGTGTTCCAGCACTCCGGTTGCCAAACGTCTGACACCGGGGGCAGTTGGTGCCACCCGTCCGTGATGGGGTCCCAGACGCTGAGGTAGAGACCCAAGAGCAAGCTGAGGAGGACCCGGCCGTGGCGGGCGTCGAGCGCGCGCCAGTTGTGGTCGGCGCGGAGCGGGCAGGCGGAGGAGGTGGGGAGGAGGCGCGAGACATAGTCGCCGTCTTGGTCTTTGAAATTGCAGAGGAGACCGAGCATGGGGGGCGAGCGATGGAACTCAGAGAATCGTCGGCGGAAGCGGCGGTCGGAGATGATGCGGCACCAGGGCTTGCAGACGAGGGCGGCGCGGAAGAGGCTCGCGGGATCCGCCGGCGGGAGGCGGAGGAGGACCTCCTCCACGAGCTCCTCCAGCAGCACCACGCTGCTTGGTGCCTGCTTCGCCGGAGCCCGGTGCGGCGGTGCCGGCGAGCGGGCGGAGCGAGGGTTTTGGTCGGCGGGGAAAGCGAAGGAAGAGCGAGCGAGCGAGCGGAGAAAGGGGCAGTGCGGAATTGTGGGTTGTTTGGGGCATTGCTGCCGCAACGTTCGTCGAGATAGATGAGTGGGCTTTGGAATACATGGGCCGGGCTGGCGTGCTCTTCCGGGTAGGATGGGCCGTTCTGTGGCCCCGCGGTGGCCACAGTTGTCTGAATAATTGTGTAGTCTAGTTTTTTTTCTTTTTTCTCGATCGGACCATTCGGCCCGTTTTTTATTAAGAAGTGGAACTTAGAGTAGCCATTACAAAAGTAATCCCCCACGGTGGCAAGGAACCATCGTGAATGGCTCACCGACGCCCTAACTACTGGGTGTCATATTATTGTGTAGTCTAGTCATTTGTTATTTTTGTGGTAGCTCTAAATCGTTGGCATTCAGTGTTCACACGATTCATCAGCAGGCTATTATACAGTATAGTTTGCGCATAGCCACAGGGTGCAGAAGAACAATCATATATCCTGATTATGCAGTCATTCAAGCATTCAGAAAATGCAGATATCAAGTTGTATGCAAACATTCAGGCATTCAGAAAATGCAGGCATCAAGATGTATGCAGATTCAGAGCTCTTGGGCAACATGAGCCACCGAAATAAGAACAAGCTCGTCTGACGGGAATACAAGGCAACATAACATGAGTCAGACTAGGCATAATACTTAGAGATCAAAACTCCTGGCTGGTGTTCATGTGTTTGAGCGTGCTGCTGCGCACAGGAGTTCCTCGATACGGTCATTCCTTCATTTTCTGCATGGGCATGTACGGCACAAGTGTTGTCATGCTATGCCACCCGCTGTTAATCCATTGCTACTGTTAGCCGCGATACAATGATCTCGAGTTTCTAGTGCTATTGCAGATGTACATATTCGCTATCCATGTAAACATCAACGGTGATCCTGACCGTGTAAACAGCACTATTCCCTCTGTACCAAATTATCTGTCGTTTTTTTTTTTTTCCGTGTCGTAAATTTGACTCGATTTGTAGAAAATACGTGCAACATTTATATCTCCAAATAAATTTAATAAATAACTAGATTCAGATATCTTTCTAATGATACCAATTATGTACCATAAATATTAATATTTTTAATATATATTTTGTCAAAGTTGTTTCTCGGAAAATAAAAACTACGGATATTTTGGGACGGATGGAGTATGTATATATACTATATACTCGTTCTGTTTCAGATTATAAGTCGTTTTGACTTTTTTTTTAATTTATTTTATTATCTATCTAGATATATTTATATCTAAATGCATAGTAAAATAGATATATATAAAAATTAAAGCTGACTTATAATTTGGAACGCATGGAGTACGAGATATGATGGCGCGAATAGGACGTGACGGCCAGTCGATAGATACATTCCTTCTGGCCGAGGGAATGAACGAACGAGCGGGGTCTGAGAAAGCCTGGGCCACTCGATCCAACCACGGATTGATGGATCGATCGGTCCATTACTTATTTTATTATTTTTAGGGCTTTTGTTTGCTTATGATGGCCGAATTAAGGTGGGATGGCTACGTGTTGTAAACTTGCAATTAATGGCCGGCGTGACACATCACGTGGACCAGTTAGGGAGGCACCGATTCGTGTCGTGTCGGGCAACATTCCCAATTTCTCATGCGACGCAGGATCTAGTAATCTAGTCTTGTTGAGTCCCGAGTGTACGTCTACCCATCCTCAATCATGGAGGATCCACCCTATTTGTTTTCCTCGTCCACATTTTCCTCTTTCTACCACATATTTATTTTTTATTTTTTTTCGAGGCCCAGTTACGCATGGACGATTACGTACATGAACGTATGCTCACTCTTATGAACGCACACACGTACCCACCCTACCCCTTTGAACATCTATGAAGAACTGAGTTGGATCGGCAAATCTCGAGATTGACGAAGTCACCATAGGCGTCTCGCTGTCGACGAGCACATCACCAATCACTGAAAGAATAGCGCCGTTAAATCTTGAAATAAATCCTGAAAAATGCGAGCACCCGTGTGTATATGTTTGAGGTCTCAAAACCCAAAAGATGAGGGCGTAAGACAGGATCGTTTGGACATTAGATATCTCTTAAAAGTACACAACCAAGTCAACATAAGACACAATCCGACGATAACATAAGCACAAACTACTGAAATCTCGTTTAAAAAAACTACTGAAATCTGATCCGGAAACCATGGACACACCCACGATGCAAATTATTTTCTTTTCTTTCACAACTGGTTTTGAACAGCAGACTGCACACTTGGTATTATATGCATAACTTGAAGACGGCACACCATGGGAATATGGTCAGGGGCTACTTAGGGTGTCCCCACCTGTCATCTCCATTGTCGACTGAATAGGTTATGAAGCAGGCTCGAACTGACGTGGAGGTGAGAGAACAGGCAAAAAGTGAATCGCTATCGATTTGTTTGGCGCTAGCGCGAAGCTGGTGGGAGCCAATATGCGATGGACGCATGCAACTTTTTTACTCTGATGGCGAACTAGAAGCTACTGGGGGAGAAAAATGTTCTGATTAATTAATTCTGATGTTTAGACCCACAACTGATCATGTCCATCTCAGCTGTCGAAATCGACGGCACCACTGCGGACACCCTTATGGCCCGGAATTAGAAGGTGGAAAACTACACAGATAACTGGTTCCAAAAGGAATAAAGCACCCCCACAAATTCAGTGATGATGGTGGTATATGGAAGTCATGATGTTTCTAATTTGTAAGAATTTCTACATGTTGTGATTAGTAAAAATAACAAGTAAGATGGAGATAATCCGTGACGTGCCGTTCACTTCATGTTGAAGATCCAACACAAGAAATTTAGTATTCCAACACAAGAAGGGCCTTTTTGTTTATGCTTATGGTTTATATAAGCTGGCTCATGGATCATGGATAGTAGAATATTTGGGCCCTGTTTGTTTTGATGAAATTTGGCTGATGCTGATTTCTTGTGAGAGAAAAATACTGTGCTTTCATTAAAAAGTAATACTGAAGTCGTGCTGAAAAACCGCATGTCTTCGAGGGTGGTGTTCTACTTTACCATTCATGACAGAGCACTATTTAGGCCCCGTTTGGCAGGGCTTCTCTAACGGCTTCAGGAGCCGCTTGGAGCCGTTTTCTGCTAAACGGGGTAAAATAAAACGGCTTCACCGATGAAGCCCCTAAAAACGTGCTCTCACAGAGCTTTGGGGTGGGAAGGAGCCAAAAATAGTGGCTTCTTCCGGCTCCTCCTCCAGGCCCCTAAAAACATGCTCTCACAGGGAAGCCATTTTGTCAAATGGTTTACCAAAACCGCTTCAGCTCCACTGGTGGAGCTGTTCGTGGAGCTGAAGCAAAAAAAAAATGGCTTCACTAGTGAAGTGAAGCTCTGCCAAACGAGACCTTAAGCTGTTGAGAAGATTATAAAGGCTCATTTTTTCTTACTAGAATTCTAGTCTATACTAAAAAAGCACACTTAACTCATGTTTCATTGGAGGGGATTAATTAGGCGGCAGCTCCGTCACATTTTGTACGAGAACAAACTGTAATCGGCATCAGTTAAATCCCGCTGACTCTCGCATCGCTTGCTTCGCAAGGAAGTCTTGCTTTTCCCTACTTCCACGCGCATAACTGCATATGGTCCGTGTGACGGTTGTGCGAAATGGAGGCGGGATTAGGATGGCCATTAAAGGCCTTGACAGTGGAAGATCCCAGCACCCGGCTATTCCTGCTGCAGCATATCCTTCTCGGAAGCGAGCACATCATGTTCGTCCATGTTGTTTCCAGTCCTATTTCGGTTTTGTTTGAATGTCGTCGGATTCACTTCAATCCACGTGGGTTTGTATGGATTTTAGATAAAATTTAATTTAGTTTTCACTCCGATCTACCCTAACACATGTGAATTTATGCGAATCCGACATATCAAAACGAGACACTTTTAAGAGCTCATTCGGTTATGTGGGAATAATTTCATTCATTAATTTATATAGCAGCGGAATGATTTCGGGTGTGGAATGGCCTGGAATAAAAACCTGCTTCGTACCTTCATCTTAGACAAAAATTTGTAGACTTCAGATTTTGTTGGCCTGAGGTTGTCGCTGGGCCTGTTTGCTTGAACTTATCAGCCAGCTTATCAGCTAGAATCTACAGTATTTTTCTTTGACAGCAAATCAGCTTCAGTCGACTTTAATATCAGCCGAACATGCCTGTAGAGTCCATCCGGTACAGCCATATCCTCCGCGTGCGACGCGTGGAACAGCGACGAATCGGACGCTCGCGGTAGGAGAGCTTGAGCCGAGCGTGTAGCGTGCCTCGCTCAGCATACGGGCTGAAGGGCTGGTGAGTGGTGAAAAGGCGAGAGAAAAGTGCCTCGCTCAGCATACGGGGAAGGGGCGTGTTAGGGTCCGGTCGCGGGCCCTAACCCGGCGCAGATGATTTTTCCTGCGCCTTCGTGTGTTCCTGTCCACGTGCCGATAATTCCCGTGTCGTTTCCCGCGTGCTCCGGTCTTCTTCCAGTCTGTTCGTTTGACTGTGGCTTGTTGTAAACGATCGTAAATTTTCAGTCAGATCAGTATTTTTCTCTTACACAAACCAATTAGCAGTACTTCTTCACAAATCAGCAACGAAATAAACCAGCCAAGCTGGAGTGGGTAGATTACGTGGTAGCACCGTTGCCACAAAAAAATAATTTAATGAAAACTGCTCCTCCACATGCATGCATGCTATGAAAAGTCATAACTACGTATGCTATT